GGCTAGCACTCTACCACTTGAGCCACAGCGCCACTTCTGGCTTTTTTCCTTTTGCTTATGTGGTGCTGAGGAATCGAACCAGGGCCTCAGGCATGCAAGGCTAGCGCTCTACCACCTGAGCCACAGCGCTAGCTGAGGCTTTTTCTGTTTATGTGGTGCTGAGGAATCGAACCCAGGGCCTCATGCCTGCCACGCAAGCCTTCTACCACTGAGCCACCTTCCCAGCCCTCACATCCCAGCGATGGGAAAACCTTCCCATCACTGACTGAGTGCTGGTGGTTCCCATCTTGAACCCTAGCTACTCAGGAGGCTGAGATCTGACGATCATGTCTCAAAGCCAGCACGGGCGGGAAAGTCTGTGAGACTTGTATCATTAATTAACCAACAATACACTAGAAATGAAGCTGTAGCTTAACCTTAGAGCACCAGCCTCACTTAATCTGGCTGGAAAAAATTAAAGTCATTAGTTTGTCACAAGTTTATCACTTGTGAATACAGTTACCTGGAGGACTGCAGAAGGGAAGACCACAGTCTGAACCTCTCCATGACAAAGTCACTCAGTATCTGAAAAACAAATAAATAAAAGCTAAGCAGACAGGGCTCATGGCTTAAGTAGTATAGTGATGGCTAGAAGCATGGAGTCCTGAGTTCAACACTGAAAATAAATCCGGAACTATCAGTGCGCATGAAAGTACATAAATGCCCTGGATGATGGAGGTGGGCCAAGGAGGAAGCGGGAGGATGAACGTGGAGGCTGTTTTAAAAAAGGGAGACTGCAGGGCTCAAAGCTTAAAGGTTGATTTGGCACAAGACATGTTTGGGGGGAGGCGCGAGGCTGCAGGGGTGGCCCTCTCCCCTTTGGGAACTCTAGGGCACTGGAGATCCTCAATTAACTCTTCCTTAAAAACCCTCTGCCACTGTCCTGTGAATGCAATCTTTTATATATTTAGCTGGGCTGGGGTTTGAACTCAGCTGCTCATGTGTGTTGCTCGGGCTCTCTTCCCAGTCTTCTTGCTGTGGATGGATTTCAGAAGGGCATTGCAGCTTGTTATTATTTGGGCAGGGTGTGCAGGATTTAGTTATTTTGGGCAAGATCTCAGTTCTGCCCCTGCTGGCCTGAAAGAAGGATTCTTCCAATCTCAGCCCCTGAGCAGCTTGCTGCAATTCCAGGCATAGTCTCAATGTTCCGAACTTTGGCCATTTTCTGGCTCTACAGGAGGTTGTAGCTTCACCCATTGCCCTTTATATTATTGTTATTACTATTATTATTATTGCTGGTCCTAGGGCTTGTGATCTGAGGGACTTGGTGTGTCCCTGAGCTTCTTTTCCTCAAGACTAGCACTGAGTCACAGCTCCATTTCCGGCTTTTTAGGCGGTTCACTGAGAGAGACTCAGGGGCTTCCCAGCTCGAGCTGGGTTCGAATCGAGATCCTCGTATCTCAGGATTTACAGGCATGCGCCACCGACACCGGTGAGCTTATTTTACTTTATTATTTGTGTATAGGTAGGCCATACCTGCGTGTTGCTGACTTAGTGAGGGCCTGGCCTTGGCCTGGCCGCTCTCCCTGGAGCTGGCGCTCTGCCCTCGGGCCACGGCTCCACTCCCGCCCACCGTGATGCTACGTGAGGCGCTCTTACCCAGTCCATCCTGACCGAGGGTGCGTTACCTTCCTGACACCCCTTTGTTCGTGCCTCTCCTTCTGGAAGGTTCCTTCCGTCGGGCTCTGCCTCCTGCAGCGCCCCACCACCACGGCTGAGGAGTAGCAGGGCCGGAAGACCCGCTCTGAAGCGCCTCCTGGCCTGCTGCCCTGCGCATGCGCATGTGCACTGCGCGGCCGGCGCCCGGCGCCAAACGCACACGGGCTCAGGTTTGGAGGTGCACAGGGAAGGGTGGGGCGGGCAGGAGCGGGGTGGGGGCAGACAGGAGGCTGGGGAGGCAGGAGCGGGAGGTAGAGAGGGTTGGGAGCCGTGTGCAGGGGAGGGAGAGCCAGTGGGGGGGGGCGGCGTCCTTCCCGGGGTCCGGTCAGGAGGCCTGGTCAGGAGAGCTGAGCCCCACACCCGGTCAGCAGGTGCAGATGGGGTGCCAGGGCCTCCCCGGGGAGCCGCTAAGGTCACCGCTGCCCTGTTCTAGAAGCTTCTGTGTGGCTGGTGTGGCCCCGAACCCACTCCGTGAGGTGCGCGCGGGGCTGGCGTCTACAGAACTCAAGGAATGCGGGACAGAATCTCCCGCGGCCCTTCAGCCCCAAGTGTCGCGGCCGTGGAGGCAGCTCGCAGTCTGTGGGACGAACTACTGAAGGACTGGGAGGACCAAGAGCACTTTTATATGAGCACTTGGGGCACGAGATGGAAAGACACGGACCTGGCCCGACCTGGCTCCCCATGCTCTTCCCAGGCTGGGGGAGATGGGGCCCGACCTGGCTCCCCATGCTCTTCCCAGGCTGGGGGGGGTTGATGGGGCCCGAGGCGGAGCGCCCATGCTCTTCCCAGGCTGGGGGGGGGGTGATGGGGCCCGACCTGGCTCCCCATGCTCTTCCCAGGCTGGGGGGGGTTGATGGGGCCCGAGGCGGAGCTCCCATGCTCTTCCCAGGCTGGGGGGGGTTGATGGGGCCCGAGGCGGAGCTCCCATGCTCTTCCCAGGCTGGGGGGGGTGACGGGGCCCGAGGCGGAGCTCCCATGCTCTTCCCAGGCTGGGGGGTGGGGGGGAGACGGGGCCCAAGGCGGAGCTCCCATGCTCTTCCCAGGCTGGGGGAGATGGGGCCCGACCTGGCTCCCCATGCTCTTCCCAGGCTGGGGGGGGGTGATGGAGTCCGAGGCGGAGCGCCCATGCTCTTCCCAAGCTGGGGGGGGGGTGTTGG